GCGCGCAGTTTGTTGGGTTAGGATGTAGTTATCTCCTTCCCAAGTTATATTTGGGAGATAGTTCTGATAAAATGCGACAAATCCACTAAAAGAAGAGTAACCATGACCACCGCATGCCCTTCTGCAATCTTCAATCGATTCCACGGCCATGGTGCTGGTAAGAGATTTCAAGCCGCAACTTGAAGCATGTAAATATGCCATTAGTGAGAAATCACCATTGGAAATTCTCTTCTGATTTTCTTTATAAAGATTTATGATCGCTTTTCCGGTGAAGTGACATGTGTATGCTTGCGCAATAACTGGGAAAAGTCTATATTGCTGCATTGTATAATCCAAAACCGGTGTTTCTACAATATCGCTTTACAAGAGATATGAGTAAAAAGAAAATATCAATTATGCATGCAAGAAAGGGGATAATGTTGTGATGATTAGCTAACCCATTTCTTAATCTATTTGGCTTATCCTTATCTACAAATTGTCTTCTCACTGCCGAGTATCGAACGGCAATGGTGGCGGCACGTGCTAGCACTATTCTTGCATGTAGGATGATCTCCGCACGAACCAATACCATGGTGCCATAAGATAATTTATTGTTTGGCGGTTTTAGGTACTCCCCAGTACCTTTGACAACTTGGGAATATTTGGAAAGCATATTTTTTCTTGGTATTCTTATGTGGTCAAATAATATGAAGCCGTTATCGGTAGCATTATAGCTAACAGAGATCCGATTATAAAAATGAATAATTTGAACCAATATTACGATGGATACGAACATTTAGAGATCTGAATCACTTTGGCATTTACCCAAATTTTGGACCAATATCACCGATAGTGATTCCCGGTAGCGGCTCATGCGTCTTTAAATCTCTAATTTGTACTATGAACGGATGCGGACCATGATCTTTACTATTTGTTAACAATCTTGCCATCACAACAGCGTGATTACTAAATAATATAGTATGGGAATCCATTATATTTCTTCTGGAGGTCTAAGCGCACAAATAAATACAAAAAGGAAACTTACGCCGTCCTTCCCAACCCGCCGATCCACCATTTAGAAGCCGTTAAATAAGGAGTATGTATTTCGAATTCATCTGTCTCTGAAATATATGTGGCTGTGGTTTCCAATCCTTGGACATTTGAACCATGCCCTAATTCGGTCTGGGCATAGCATCCGATAATTTGATGTTTTAATGCTGGCACGAGAAATTTCTTTTTTTGTTCCTCGGTTCCTTGACCGTAGATTGTTGGAATAAACATTGTCCGGTGGAGATTATACTAATTATGATGAGCACAATAATATGAGCGAGTTTATTAGGGTGAATATGAATGGAAGAACCGCTGTAGTTTATCATGATGAACGCGAATAGAGGAATCTATTGTGAAGTCTAAAATATAAATACCGGTCCAGGGAGATCTAGAAGTATCTCTGCAATCTCTATTTCTTCGATGTCCCAATTATGCTTCCTATAATAAAAAGGTGCCATATGATTAGTAGAACAAATCTTCCTATGAAATTCTCTTTTATTACTGAATCTTGAAGTGATTACCTTATTAATTGAATTAGTTTTTTATCTTTTCTCAAAGCATACTTGAAAAGTTCTTTTCTTCCCATAAAGCAAATTTCACTTTTATCGAAAAAGGGGTCGTTTTGGAGGATGGATAAAATTTCATGAAATTTTTTCAATTCCGATTCGGTATATATAACCGAAGTTAATTCTTTTATATTAAATGTTGCTTTGGATCTTTCGATCGCAAGCAATTCAGATCCCTGTGGATCCGATGGGACTAGGTTAGAAGGGATTCCTATGCGAGATGTCATAATCTATTTCCTACGTTAATGTTCTAGGAAACTTGACAACCGAATTGCAAAGGTCGCGTTTTATATTGATGCCCGCATTGAGATGGACATAATAAATAAAACCTGAATTTAATAAACTAGAGAAGGATACTCGCTGATTCATTTTAATTAATTTATTGTTCATCACAATATGTTCCCACGATTGGTAAAAGTAAAAAATGGATTCCTTTACGGAATCTCAATTTGATTGACTTCAAGCTTTTAACCGATTCGATGTCTTTTTTGAAGGTCGTACAACATTTTAATAAATGGATTTTTTAATATAGCCTGACTTTGACTGTCTTTTGAATTTCATATGATTTATATTCAAAATGTGGAGGAAATGAGTTTTATGAATAATTTCGACCAGACGATGTTTAATTTCGATACACAAAACTATCTATATGCAGTACCACAGAATTTTTTTTATTCATTGAATTTGTAGATCTTTAGTAATATATGCTGTATGTACTGTTTAATCCGATTCGTAATTATACTGTAAATTCAATTTAATAAAATTATACTTCTAAATTTCGTTTTATACAATTTTTTTAAAAGGGCAACAGAGGCCCAGTTTATTGAGTTATTGGTCACAGCTAGTTTTAAACATTTATATAAATTTCATTAACACAAAGCTATCTTGAGTTCTTGTAAATCTATGTTTAGCTTGATGACAAACTAAAGCTTACAGTAAACCTGTTTTGCCAGTATTTTTCAATTAGTTCCTCATATTGTTAGAAGAAATCCTACTACCCCCTGTCTATATTCAGGTCCTTACTATTTTTTGCTTAGCTTAGATCTGAAATTCTTTTTATATTTTCTAAATATCATTACATTCTATTGAACCATTCTTTTTATATGACTTGTTATAGCCTGCTTAAGAAATAATTATATAAAGTCTTGAATAAATGTTGATTTTATAAAAACTCTTTTTTAACTAATATTTTATATCTAGATTTCATTAATCTCTCAATTTTTAATATATAAATATTTAATCTATTTGTAGAACTTGTAAAAATCTATCTAATAATAAGATGGCTTTAATATTAAAACTAATTAAAGTATTTTGTGATTTTTTATAATCAAATAGAATTTTGATTAAAAGTTATTAAATTATTATTATTAAATAAATAAAATCTTCTTGTATTATTTGAATCTAAGCAATACTATCTCATAGTAATATTTAATTTAAAAATAGTATTTGAAAATATAAAGATGTTACTACTATATTATAAATTTATAGATCTTTATTTTATATACTGTATACAGGGTGTTGCAAAAAAAATGGCAATTATAAATTATTATATTATTTAAAAATTACTGCGCCAAAACATGTGATTTTATAAATATTAATAGTACGATACATAATATTTTATTATGTAAAAAATCAATAATCAATAAATTCTCCGTTACTTTCCAACACCTTTTCACACCATCTCCTCATCGAATTTGCTAAATTTTTTAAGGTAGACTCGGGTATCGCTTGCCATTCTTCAATAAGAAACTCTTCTAAATCCTTTAAATTTCGCGACATACGATTCTCTACGTTTTTTTTAACAATGCCCCATAGGTTTTCTATTGGATTTAAGTCGGGGCTATATGACGGCCAATCCATGACTTCGAAAATATTTTTTTCGAGGAAAGTCATTGCGTAATTGCTTTTGTACTTCAGATCATTATCCTAAAGCCACCGAAATTCCCTACCAAGCATTTTCTTGATCTCCAGGATATGTTCATTAAGTATAACAACATAAAATTTTGCATTCATATTCTCCCTAAAACAAAATAAAGACGATATACCTCCTATAAAAAATCCCTCCCACACATTAATTTTCATACGATTCTTAGGAATATGGCGAACCGGTTGTAAACCCTTATGCCAGCGTCTCAGTGTATTTCTAAACAACTGAAAGGCTGTCTCGTCCATAAAAAATGTGTTTTCCCAGTTGTCATTGAGGTGCTTCCGGGCCCATTCCATATGTGCTTGCTTATTTGTATCGGTGAGCATCAGAGTTTTTCGTGGCAAACTATTTACATATCCAACCCTATTAAAGTATCTTGAAATAGTACTATAGAATACTTCAACTCCATTTTTAGCAAGTTTCATGACTATATTTCTTGTCGAAAGGTAAGAGTTTCTATGAATATACTGACCTATAGCTCGTGCGACAGATTCCGTGATTTTCGTTGTTCGTCCATTACCGCCAGTGTGAGTTACGCCCCCAGTTCTTTTGATTTTTTTAATATTATTATAAATAGTTCTGAGAGAGATATTTGTTTTCGTAAAGATTTCTTTTGCGATATGTACGCCCTTATTCCATAATAATAAAATAACTTCACTTTGATCTTTTTTAGAGAACGGTGACATTTTTGATCGACGACTACAATCAAAAGTTATAGTAAGGAAAATGTATGAAAGTTACACAAGGCAGCCACATGTCTCACATCTGACCTGTATAAACAAAACGGAAATTCAGCTTGAATTGGTTAGGCTAGGTCAATCGAAAGAATAAAAAAAATTTTGCCATTTTTTTTGCAACACCCTGTAATTATCTTAAAAATAATTAAAAGAAAATATATATTTTTTTAAAAAAATTATTGTCTTACTAAATATTAAATTTTTTTTTTAACTTGTTAGCTTATTTCTATACCAGTTTCGAAACCTTTATCAATTATTAAGATAGATCTAAGGATAATTGAGATAAGTAATTATTTATACTGTTTAAAGATTTATTGATTAACTAATAGTACAAGAAATATCTATTTATATCTTATATCTTATTCAATCAAAATAAAGAAACTATATAATCATTTAGTATAAGATGTTTTTTAATCCTTAATAAAGTCAAAGGATTTGAGAAGATATATTTAATCTACTAATTTAATAGAATACTATTCACTTGTCTTAAATCTCATCAATTAATTAATATTTTTTAAAATCATAATCATCAGATAACCTATTTTTATCCCTATGTAGGGAGGTTAATATATTAAGAACTTGTCTAAAATATTCAATATCACTGATATTAAGAGTTTCTTATATGGGATCTTTATAACTCTTGTTAATATATTTATTTTTGTGAGAGGTCTATCTTGTTTCTTAATCACCTTAATTTCTTGCAATCCATTTTTGTCTCTTATAGAAACCTGTCTTGTATTTCTTAAATACTGAAACACCTTATTATTCAACTTGGTCACTCAAATAGAAGATCAGTTTTATATTAAAAATATTATATCACTTAGCTTTTTGCCTTATTTAAAACTTGATTTATGTCTTTAACTTGTATATCAGATTGATTTTTCTGTCTTGTTATGAGCATAATAAGCAAATAATTTCTTATTATAGTTATATTGGGATAATGAATTATTATTATGGAATAAATAAAATTTTTATGCCACTAATTGCTTAATTTTCACTTGGTCTTTATATAATATTAAACTTTAGACTTTTCTATTGTGACCTGAAATATAACCACTATACTATAGATCTATAGATCTTTATTAAATATTAATATTAATAATTATTAAATAAAAATTTTTAAAAAAACTCTTTCCACTGATCTCTAAATTTTCAAAAAATTTCTTTTTTTGATAATTTTTTGAGAAAAAGAGAAACCAGTCAAAAAAAAACAAGAGAAACCACTTTTACAACTAAACAACTTATAAAAACAAGTTAAAAAACTCTTTACAAAGTACAGAAGAAGTAAATTTTACAAAAATTACTAACTTCTACTATATAAATTTTTTCTTTTAGAAAGAGAAAAACAACAAGAAAGACTG